TTGGGGGGGGGGGGGGGAAGCCTATTTATCTTTGATTAAAGGTTCCATCTCTGATTGACTGAGGCCAAATCTGAATTTTACTTTGGAAACAGGAGGTCTCCATGTGTGCAGTTAACTAGTACTGGATATCAACTTTTTTCTTTTTAATTTTTGGTGTAAAAGTAAAATGTATAATAAATGCTTCAGATGGACAGATGTAGATTTTGTGCTAGAGAAGCCTTTCAACAATGAAACAGCAGTTAAATATAGAGAAATTGAATCAACTCTAGTCACTATAAACTTGCATCTAACCCAAAGCAATAAACAGCACAAATGTAGCACACAAGTCTGTATATAGAAAGGCACAGACAAATGTTTGCTTCTTCCATTAATATAATTTACTACAAAATAATTGACATAAAAATGAAATAAGCATGCTCTCTCTGTTGCTCAGCAACTAAAAGAAATTAATATATATTAAGGGTGACTGAATCATTCACTAAACAGGTATTTCAAAAATAAGCCTTGTCCATAAAATTTTAAAATAACTAAGACTCTAACTTATCCCTATACAAACACATTACAGTTCAATTATTTATCAATAAAGGTATTACATTTAAATCTAAATAGAAAAGGGCAGTCTGTAAGCAAAGTTGATTGGCATGATCCTTGTAGGACAAAAGCATAATTCATTCTTTAAGCCTTATCCATTTAAATTTGAGATGTGTGGAATTCATCGCTGCATGAAAATAAATTCTCAGCAATCTAAACTAGACACATTTTTTTAAAAAAATCAAGCAAAATATTCTTGGACAATTTACTGAATCCAGATAAAGACACAGCACTAAAATGCAGCACTTAAATTCTTTGTTACATTGCATTAAATATAAATTCAAATAAATATGAAATAACTGTAATATTTAACTTACATTCTAATAAGAACCTAAGAAATGTCATACTACTAAATAAGACCCAAAGTCTATCTGATCCAGCATTGTATTCCTTCAGAGGCTCAAGAAGCTCTTGAGGGCATCAGCATCTCCCTCACAAGTTCTCATGCAACTGATACTCAGAGCATTCCCATCAGCTTGACCATTGCTAAAATCTTTTGATCCCACAATTAAAATGCAGGCTGGATTATTGGCCAGGCTGTCTATTTCTAGATCTGTTAGGGTATCAGAATGCCATAAAAGCAAACATGTTGCCTCATTTGCAAGTTTATAATGCTTGTAGACAACAGGCAATAAGAGTTTTCTCTTCCTGAGTAATAGCCAAATCAATGCTCATTGCCTGCCAGTTATGAGTGCCTTATCCTGTCTCCTCAGATTAATACCAAAGCTCAAGTCCCTTTTCCTAAGAAAGAGAGAGAGAGAGAGAGAGAAAGAAAGAGGAGAGCGGAGAGCGGAGAGCGGAGAGCGGAGAGCGGAGAGGAGAGGAGAGGAGAGGAGAGGAGAGGAGA